GCCGGGACCCTTATCTGAGTGACTCACCTCAAGGGACTTCGGCGTCGGAGGGGGGGGAGCTAGTGTCATGGCCACCCGGCCATGGAGACGGAATATGCATGCGCTTTCGTTGCCTATAATGGTATTGGTTTCCTTGGTTGCATAGTTGGATTTCTTTGGTACATGTGATTAGAGTGCGCTGCCGTGCAACGGAACGTAGCGGAAACTGATAGAAGGATCGCGGCTGCGCACGATGCAAAGGACTTTCCTTTGTATTAGTTATCATGTAGGATTTCTTTGCTATATAAGGGGGTGTGCCCCCTTATATTTTACATTCTTTACGCAATCTGGTAATCTCCTTCGGACGCCTGTACCTAGGAATTACACTCTGTTCTACTTCGCGTCCTCCTGAACCCCTGACCCCTGACCCTGAACCCCTGACCCCTCGAGCCTTGTACAACTCGCTTCGGTTGTATGCCCGTTCCTAGACCTCGTCTCCAGACTCTTGCTCACTCCTATCGTGGTGTGCCTTGGGCTACCCAACCCTCAGACCTTGTCCGTTACAGTCGTGTCCTGCTGCCTTCTTGGACCCTTTGGTCAGTATTTTTGCTTCTTCACTTAATCTTTGAACTTTGGCCCTTTGGTCTTTCTTTGTTCGTACTTGGTTGAATTTCGCATCCAGGTTCTCTTGTGTTGCTTCTTCTTTGGGTGTTGTATATACTATTGGCGAACTGTTGAGACACCATGTCATACATCGTTCGCCAGTAAACGTAACCTTTCCTTCTTCTCAGTTCAGTGTGGGGTTGTGTTGTTTTAACTATGGCATTCCGAGAATTATCTCATGGTGTTGTAGATTTGCTACCTGGAAGGTCGCCACTGCCCTATGGTTTCCAATTCCCATAGGTACTTGCGTGGTATGGGTTATAGGTCCCATTGTGCTGGGCTTTTCATCTGTGAGGTAGATTTGTCTTTCGTCTTTACTTTTTTGGTCCTTAGTTGATATTTTCGGCATACTTCTTCGTCGATGAAGTCTTCCGTTGCTCCTGAATCGAGCATCGCATGTATTGTAATTGCTTGTCTTTTGTCGTTATCGATCGTGGTTTTGATCATGATATGATCATTGTTGTTCGTTTTCTGACTTAAAAGAGTGTAGTAGTTGGCCTTCGAGATGGGTTTGTCTTTCGGTTGGTCCCGCAGACCATCTATTGCTGGGAACCTTCGTCTTTTGCCTCCTTTTCGTACTCATTTTCAATTTCAATTTCCCTTAGGTTGCTGCATGGTTGGAACCTAGGGTTCTGTCTGAGGTTTTGTGGGTTTCTTCCTTGATTCGAGGTCGGATTAGCGGGTCTTTTGCAATCCTTGATCATATGTCCTCCTATGCCGCATCTGAAGCATAGGTTGTTGTTTCTTTGCCAAAGGTATTCGTCCCTTGGGAGGTTGAGTAATGGCCTTCTTCTAGTAGTGTCCAGGTCCATTGCATCTCCTCCTTGCGTGGTGGTTCGGAATGTCCCATTCTGATTCCTTGGGGATTCTTGGTATCTTGTATTGGTGTTGCTGCTCTTCATCGCAGTTGATTGGTTTCTTTGAATCCAGTCTAATTGTCCAAACTGGACTTCTTTTCGAATGGCCCAGAGAACCATTACTTCTACCGTAGTGAATTTTTCCCCGCTGTATCTCCATGCATTTTGGTAGGTTTTTTTCAAACCTTTCATGAACCATCTTATAGCAGAAGCCTCGTCGCATTCCGCATCATACTGGAGTAGTCTGAACTCGTACCAGTAGTCGGTGACATTTTTTGTCTCTTATCGGATTTCTTCCAATTTGTTCCGGGCTGATTGGCTCAGTTCTATGTCTGTGAATTGGGCTTCGAATACCCTTCTGAAACGGGCCCAGTTGGTCCAGGGTGCATTATTGCTGACTACCATAGGGGTTACCCATTTTAGGGTGGTTCCTTCTAGTAGTGTGAGAACATATCGTATTTTGTCCTGGTCGTTTCCTTGTGTCCATCCTACTGCGTCGAAGTAGGTCAAGAGCTGTACCATGAATCCTCGTAATTTGCTTCTTTCCCCGTCATATCTTGGTGGGGTTTTGACTTTGGGTTGTTGTCCTCACCCTCTTATGGCTTCCTGTATCATTCGTTCTACTTCGTCGTGGTTGAACGTGCCTGGGGGTGTTGGCCCCACCGGAGATGGGCCTGGGGGTAGTGCCGGTCCTGACATTCTTTCAGGTCTTGGCGTGTCTAGTGTTTCGTCTTCATTCAGGAAAGTAACTCGTTCAAGTGTGACTGGGCTTGTAGTTCTTGCTGAATGTTGACTTGCCTCGCTTAGCGCTTGTTCTAAATCTTCCAGTCTAAAACCGTCATCTTAGAGGTCCAAATCTTCTTCTGGATCTGGGTTGAAGAAAGCCATCGTGTAATCGTTAAGTGTCACATTGTAGACACATTCTAATGTTAAGAATCCTACCAGGGATGGGGTGCGACAGGTAACAGTTCTTAAGTTGTAACGAGGTAATAGTTCTTAGATCTTAACCTATGCGATCCTGATAGCTAAGTCCTTATGACTTCTATCTTATCGTGCCTATTCCTCTAATCTTCTTAAGTCCTTGCTTAGGACTTAATCGTTCGACGTGGGACAAGAAATAGTTTTCTCGCGTGGGAGGAAAGACAATTCTTGGGTTTCTTAAGATAAGTCTTAAAGAGCGTAAAAGTAGGTTTTTATTGATAACTTAAAGGTAGGAAATAAACAAGAAGAACGTGTGAAGAGCTCATACTTGGAGTCCTAGTGACCCTTTATATAGTCGCTCTTCATCTGGCGTGACTCATACCTTGCGTCACGCAAATCCTGTGACTCATAACCATGAGTCATATGAAACCCATCAATCAACTACTATGAGTCACTGTGCAACATGCCTTAAACCAATCAAAACATAATAACCAAGTCAGGTATGCAACTCACGTTACCTGAGTGAAACCCATGACTCATAATTTGAGTCATGTGCAAAAATCATAACATCGTGTAACTCACAGCTGTGAGTCACGAACAGGTAAACATAATAACCTATGGCGCACTAGTGTGCGTCATGTGAAACCCCAACATACCTATAACTCGGAATTCCGAGCTATGTGAAATCTGCCTTGCTTAGTCACAGTTCATGACACCGTGACAATTGCAAATCAAATGACTAATTACCATGCATGATGATGCATAAAAGGTAAGAAATGAACCTGAACACCAGATAAGAAAAGCATGCTATACTTTCCTAATCGTATCATGAAATATCAATGAAATATACATAATACATACTCTGCTGTAGTAATGTTCGTAAACTGAAAATAATACTCAGTAGAGGAATATACAATATTATGAAGGAGAATATACATATGAAACAAATTAGAAAATTCAACAGTAGTAAAGGACCTCCACACCGGTACAACTTCCAGCAGCTCACCTTCATGCATACTTGATCACTCGCTATTCTTGGCAGCTTATCATACCAAGCTTCCGTGCGAATTAATATGAGTGTTGATTTGCGGTGCCTAGAACCATACCAAGTGCTAATCTGCATGGAACGTGGGGGTCATTAGCCATCACTTGGAAGAAGGTTGTAGCAATGGACACCCCAGGCTCTGAGTCGCCTCACTTTGCACTTTGCCCCTGCTGACGAGCTAGATGACCATAGGTTCCAGGCGCATTCCCTTCCTCGCCCTGGCACTACGTTGTCGGACCCCAGTCTCCGCCCAGACATATCTCTCATGGAGGGCGCCCATAGCCCGATTCACAGGCTACGAGCAGGCTGCGTTGGATCATGACACGCGACAATATGTCTGCCCTCTCTTCTGATGGCTGCAGTAGCCGTCAATACAGCGTACGCTACCCATCTCGCTCTTCTTCTCAGGTCTCTTCCACCAGAGCGCCATCACCTCCGAACTCTGTCGATGCGTTTGCCAATCCCGGGCGCAGATGCTAAGTTGACTGTTCTACCACTATCAGCAGTTAAGCTCCTGCGGATCTTGCCTTAAGCCTCCCCTGGACTATGTCGCAACGTCCGACCTTTACTGAGGATGAGGCTGCTAGAAACGGCTTTGGCGATATGGCTCTGCCTAATGCGCAAGAGGACATTTGATTCCCGCCTCCTGAGGAGCTCCGGAAGACGTTCCGTTCGATACTCGGAAGATTTACGATCCATGAGATGCGGTTTGGTTGTCACTCTAAAAATCCGCCATTGTGACAAGGTTTGTTCCTAATGTCAAAGAAAACTCCTGTTCGCAAAAAGTAGGTACTCCAGGGGGTAGAGTATTGTGGTGCTTCACAGAATAAGAATCACTGGGGTGGATTGCAAAAGCCTTCATGAGCATAGCCAATTCTCCACTAGTGGGATTATAACGGTGCACCTACCAGACACCTTGCCCACCACGGAAGAGCTTGAGGAAATTCTCGCCATCGCCTAGGCAGTCACCAATCTCCGGAGCGTGGGCAGTAGCCTCACACTCGGATGAGAAAAAGCTGAATCAATCAGGATTGCTTACAAGCCTATGGCGGGGCGTGGTAGGCGTGTTGCAAAAGTCGGCTTTCTCATCATTGATAGATGAGGTGGAGGAGATGGGTGCCTCCTTCCGGACAGCACCGGGAGTGGCAGACGAATCCCCTTTGGTCTTAGTTTACTCAAAGTATCAAGACCCAAGACCATTCCCACGAGTGCTCATTTTCTTTCTCCTCTCACACGGCTCCGGGCGGGATTGATTGGCTACAAACTCATCCATCTCCTCAAAGCTAATTCCACTCCGGATTCTATGCTTCAGCGGTCGCGTCGGGCATCAATTCCGCTGAGGTTGCTGACTCAAACGCTCCCAACCTAATGGGACCGAGTACCGCATTCACCAATCTTTACGCGCACGTTCCTCCCGGCAACAAACCCAAGTTTACAACACTATCCCGTCTGGCCCGCCAAATGGCTACCAGGATTCGCCATTGTATAGGATTGGGTACGGGATAACTTTAGCCACCCTCGAAAAGAAGTCTTCCAGCGCTGCCAGTCTCTCACTGCTAGTAACCACTTCCCTTGCCCAAGAGAAGCCGGCCCATCAGGTTGACCACGCGATCTTTGTTGGAAGCTTTTAGCACCAGAGCTAACCGAACAAACCGAACCGAACAGACCGCTAAAAGGCTTATCAAAAAACCCGGCAAGTCCCGTCTGCGCCGCTCCCCCGCTATCCTTTACTGGATGACGCCCTTAATGTCATGCACGGTTACTTCGGCAAACATATAAATTCGGATGATCGCGATTCCTGACCACTCCACGATGAGTTGCTGAACCTGCATGAATCGAAAGCACGAAATAGGCCAGAGAATCATGCTACATTTCGGGCATGCTTCCGGTCCCTTCTGTCTAGCCTGGCCATTGTGGAGAGGTTATTAAAGTGGTGGGATATACTCGCCCGACCAATATTAGATTCTATGGGGCAAGAAAAGGCTGTTGTTGTGGGTGCTCCGGCTATTGTTCTCATTGTGCTAGCTTATAATGACGAGGAAGGCCCGATGGGAGAAAAGGCAAAGGGATCGGCAGTATTACGGATAAGATGTTTGAGCTTTTTCTGGAGAAGACTAAGTTGTTATTGCCGAATCGGGGTGCTGGTTTTAGGGCAGATTGGAGCCAGCGGTTTGGTTTTGCGAACGCCGAGGCTGTGCCTTTGGCATTTAGGAAAAGGAAGCCACAGGTTAGTCATGGTTTTCTAACTTTACCAACGATTAGTGCTGACTAGGATGCCGACTAGGGGAGTAGGCATTCCCCGAGAAGATTGATGGCTATGCGGTGCAGAATGCTGCGCACAAAGAAAGTTATTCTGGGGAGAGTACTACCCTGCCTTAGGCTAAAGGCGCAGGCTGCGATACATGAGAGGGCAAGCCCAAGTTTTCTGATTGAACTAGCGTTCAAGATAGCTGCTATCCCCGGTCATTCCAAGAATTCCTTTCTGCCAGTCGGGAGTACAAGGTTCCCAGTCCCTGGGAAGCGGAGTAAGGAGAGCGATGAAGGGATCAAACCAGCCGATACCCGGGCAGATGAAGACGAATGGCCATCCCTTATGATCGAAGTTGGTGTGTCTCAAACCATGCTATCCCTCCGCGAGAGTGCTTGTTGGTGGTTAGCGAATTCCAAGGAAAGGACTCGAATGGTTATTTTGATCCGAATCAAGAAGGATCCAATGTCGTTGCGATTAGAAAGACGGGAGAGGGTTATCGATACAGACCGGCCATCGACCCGATCCAGGCAGACGACCACACCAAAGTATGCCCACCCCCAATGCCGTTATGCTCTTTGACCACCGGGTCCTCCAAGTCCATACTCTAGAAGTCATCCTTGCAAACGCTCAAGTCCTGATATCATATATTGACAATACAGTGCCTCGCGAACGAACCCCCTCGCCTGCACCTACTAGCCCTGAAATCGCCCTGCCAGGCCCACGGACTAGTTTCTCCGTGCCTGGTAGGGGGTCGGAATACCATCGAGCGAACCGGTACTTTGCAATAAATGTTGCACGGGCATTCCTTGTGACTGCAGATGTGGAGGTACTCGAGCAGACAGCCTGGTCTGCACTCGGCTCGGATAAGAGTAAAGCAATGATTTCCAGCTTGGGGCATCTGCACAAGTCGCCTATATGGCCATTACCCCGACAGCCCTTGGCCGCTCTACACCTAGCGCTTGTGCAGGGCAAATATATCCCGCCCAGAAGATTGGAACGAGATCTACTGCACCATTTACTAGTCTACAGATGCCCAGACCCAGTATCCTACCAGCAGAGGTTTCACCCTATGTGAGTCGTGCCTGGGTTCACGCTTGCAAAACTTGCCCTTACAGATTCTGGGGTAGATTACAGGAAGGTTGTTTGGGGGCTTCTTTGTGAGTGTGCTGCACAGGTGGGGTGGAGTCATGGTGGCGGCGGAGTATTTGCGGGTGTAGTTTCTAGGAAGAGGGAGGAGGTGAGAAGGGATTTGGAGAAGGAGCAGTGGAGGGGATGGGTAGGGGTGATGTTGGAGGATATTAGCCTTGGATCTCATCATCCCGTACAAATCCGTATTTGATACAGGCTATGGTGCGTGTACCGATATCGTCCTAACTAAAGCTGAGTTGTCAGCATGGTCTTCGAGAGTTTTCTGTGGCTATCCCCGGTCATTCAGACTTGAATGGTTATTTCGACCCAAATCAGGAAGAATTCAAAGTCATTGCGTTTAGAAAGATGGGGAAGGATTGTCAATGAAACTGGGCTCACCCTTCGAGACTGAAACTTACGCACACGATTGCACCGTGTGAGGAAGATCAGCAGCTCCAAGACATAATTCAGCTCTGAGAGAATTTGCATTCAAACTAGCATGAGAAACGACTCAACGCAATCTCTACCACCGCTCCCTGGACCAACTTCCCGGCATCTAGAAGTGTTACAGCCTCACTGCGACTCAAAGCTTACTTTCACTCACTCTTCCAAAATTCAGTACCAGAGTCACCAGCACTTCAGCCCGCAATGTCCAATAGCCAGGGGACTATTGCGTTTCTACAAAGTAAGGTGATATTGTCAGGGATGGCTTGAATTCCGAGTATTATCTCTAGCAGCAGCATCTTTTCCGTATTGGCCATTGACAGGGAAAGTATATTAAAGAGGCCACTGCGGAAGCTGAGATGTAGAGGTTGGTTAACACTGATGAGACATTGGAGGCTAAATTAGAAGAGGCGAAGTAGGCCTTACTATCTTGCGTAGTTTCTTTATTTCCTTTATTTTATTTTTTTCTTGTAGGAACGACTCTGGGTGGTGGCTACTTCTAGTGATACAAAGGTTGTTGTCACGAGGGGCGGGGGGGGGTGGATTAGTAATAGCTAGTATGGACTGTGGGGAACATAAGGGGGAGAGTGGCAATCCGGGCAGGAAACTTTCTGTACGGCAATGTCAATTTTATCTAGTCATACTGGTTGAGCACCACTAAAATATTGGAGTTTCTTGAAAGGCCGGACAAGATGGCCAGAGACCCTGGCATCTTCCTCCGGAGTCCCGAAAGACCGTCAGAAATCTGTTCTGTCCTTTTGTGAGGAAGCCTGGTTCAAAGATCTACCTCGTTCGCCGGACGTTTCCTTTCTAGGCCTCCAGATTAAAGGAGCATTGCCTGATTAAGTGAAGTAGCAGTATATCCCATATTCCGCAGATTACCCGCGAGTGTGACCCTCTGTGCAAGAACGCTTCGCACAAAGTTTTCCTTTATTTGGATATTATTCGGGGTGGAGGTTGAGCTATAGTAGGTTCCAGGAGCAGGTATACTGCACCAGTGTAGACTGAGTCCTGTGATCATCGTGGCTAGAAAGGCCACGTAATCAGGGTGTAGCAATACCATATATTTTTGAACCCATTGATTCTTGTTCTGTGAACTACCACAACACTCTACCGTCTGCAGCCTGAGTACCTACTTGTTGCAAACAGGACACCAAAGACAAACCTTACGACCATGACGGATGTTTGGGGAGACTACCAAACTGCATCCCCTCGATCCTCAATCTCTCAAGCATCCAACGGAATGTCTTCTGCAGCTTCCTTGGTCATGTCAGACATCAATTCCTCTGAGGTAGCTCACTCCCAAGCCCCCCACCCAATGGGGCCGAGCACCGCGTTCACCAATCTTTCCTCTTATATCCCTCCCAAAAACAAAGTTCTGTTTACAACTCCCTCCGCGCTCGCCCGCCAAATGGCTACCAGGATTAGCCGTTGTCTGAGGCTAGGCACGGGATGTTACATACATGTCAGTGGAGTTACTGAAGCAAAGTTAGACGAGATTGATGATGCATTCCAAGATCTTGGAATTCGTAACTCCGTCCGATTCACATATGAACACGATCTGGAGGCAATGGTTATTAGGTGTATGCCCAGCGAAGTGCATGAGAGGGCAAGTAGGAGTTTCATGATAAAACTGGCGCTTAAGATAGCTGCCCTCCCAGGCCATTCCGAGGATTCCATTCTGCCGGTGGGGAGTACAAGATTCCCGGTTCCCGGGAAGCGGAGTAAGGAGGGCGACGAAGGGATCAAACCAGCGGATACCCGGGCTGATGGAGATGAGTGGCCATCTCTTATGATCGAAGTTGGTGTGTCTCAAACCATGCTATCCCTCCGCCAGGATGCTTGTTGGTGGTTAGAGAATTCCAAGGAAAGGACTCGAATGGTTATTTTGATCCGAATCAAGAAGGATCCAATGTCGTTGCGATTAGAAAGATGGGAGAGGGTTATCGATCCAGACCGGCCATCCACCCGATCCAGGCAGAAGACTACGCCAAAGTACACCCAACATTTTGAGATTGATTCCAGCGGTGATGTCAGTCACGCTGAGTCACAACCAGATCTCATCATCCCGTACAAATCCGTATTTGATACAGGCTATGGTGCGGGTACCGATATCGTCCTCACTAAAGCTGAGTTGTCCGCATGGTCTTTGAGAGTTTTCCGTGGACTTGGTAGATAAAGAACACTCAGGAAGCCTGGGGGCGAGAGGAGTTGGTCGAGGGGATTTAAAGTGGGTGTGTTGACTATGACCATGCGAGTGGTGCGTTTGAGGGAATGTAGATTTCTTTGTTTCGTTGAACACTTCGCTGCACAGTTCTTGCGTGAGGCGAGGGATGTTGGGAAGCCCACGCAAAGGGCATCAATAGTGGGTGGAGGGGGGGTGGGCATTTGTGTGTGGAGGGACTAGGCACCTTTTTTCATTTTTATCTCGTCTTGTTTCATTCCACAGCACTGTTCCGTATGTTCCCCTTTTAGACAATAGATAGTCTCGTTTAGATGGACATTGCCATGCACACTACATCTTATAGCTTGTAGATAACACACCCTGCTTGACGTGAATCTGGTCATTAGGTGTCGCAATTGGTCACTTGCCGAAGATTGGCCAATGAAGGAGCCCACTCAACATTTCATCACCCAAACATTCAAACTTCCAATCATCACCAAACCTGTCCATAATTGCAATCCCCACACCGAAAATGTCAAACAAGCAGCGGGCACTCCTCAACAGGTGTCTACAGCCAATTGACAACAACTGCAATCCAAGTAGCCACCCAAATCTTGTGGATCCCCAAATCCCTCATGACGATTCGATGATACGCACCTGCAGAGAACCTGCAGCGACTACCTCCACCACACCCCAGGCACACCCTCAATTCTAACAACTTACGCCCCCCGCTCCTATCGGTAAAAAGAAACAAGGGGGTTAATTGAAAGTAGGACTGTCAAACAGAAGACTGAAAGCATGTGCACAATCACGAATATAAAACCTATGCTAAGCTGGCTAGGGCGTTACAGGGCTGTGTGCGCGTAGCGATGATGGTGCTCATGCAGAATGCCCAAGAGGAGGTGCTTGCGCAGTGTGAGGATCATCTTGGAGGGTTCCATACTGAGGCCCGGGGGGAAGAGATGGGAGGGAGTATTTGTGATGAGGAAGGGGGCACATCGTTATTTGGGAACAGGGAAGGGGGAGGAAGAGATTAGGAGGTTGTATTGCACCCTTGCATAAACCACGATTCTACCCCCGATGCCGTTATGCTCCTGGACCACCGGGCCCTCCAAGTCCGTGCGATAGAAGTCATCCCTGCGGACGCTAAAGTCCTGATATCATATATTGACAACACAGTGCCTCGCGAATGCTGCCAGCTGGCACTGTCGGAAAGGAACTTCGCCTGCGCCTACTCGCCCTGCAATTGCCCTGCCAACCCCGCGGGCCGGTTCCTCTGTGCCTGGTGGGGGGTTGGAATACCATCGCGCGAAGCGGTACATTGCAATAAACGTTGCACGAGCATTCCTCGTGACTGCAGATGTGGAGGTACTCGAGCAGACAGCCTGGTCCGCGCTCGGCTCGGATAAGAGTAAAGCAATAATCTCCAGCTTGAGGCACCTGCACAATTCGCCTATATGGCCATTATCCCGGCAGCCCTTGGCCGCTCTACGCCTAGCGCTCGTGCGGAGTGAATATATCCCGCCCAGAAATTTGGAACGGGCTCTACTGCACCATTTACTGGTCTACTGATTCCTAGACCCAGTATCCTACCAGCGGAGGCTCCACCCTGTACGAACCGTGTACGGGTTCAATGATAAAAATATTCGACCGTTCAACGACGTGAACGAACGAGTGACCGGCTGTGATAGAACTAAAACACCGATAAAGCACACAGATCCTTTCTCATCCATGCAAGTCTCCCTTTCCTCCGCGTATTCCGTGCTAACACCAAGAAAGACAAACTCCATAAAGACTCCTGCAGCCGTACTGCTTCCCGTGCTTCTTCGCACAGCCGAACTGCTTCCGACGAGTTCTGCCCAATGCTTGATCGTGCGGATACGGAGCGGAGGGAACGAACAATAAACCGCAAACTGCGAACGGAGGTGAACCGCGAACGACGGAAACGAACTATGGAACGAATGAACGAACGCTGAACAACAAATGGCGAAACGGACGGCAACCATCAGCATGCCGAGCAGCATCATGGTTTCCAACATTCAAGCTTGCAAACTTGCTCTTGCGGATTCTGGGGTAGATTACAAGAAGGTTGTTTGGGGGCTTCTTTGTGAGTGTGCTGCGCAGGTGGGGTGGAGTCATGGTGGCGGCGGAGTATTTGCGGGTGTAGTTTCTAGGAAGAGGGAGGAGGTGAGAAGGGATTTGGAGAAGGAGCAGTGGAGGGGATGGGTAGGGGTGATGTTGGAGGATATTAGCCTTGGGGCGGAAGTGGAGAAGATTGTTGGTATGGTGGAGGGTTTGGTTAAGGAGCTTCAGAGGTAGTAATGTTAACTGCCGTGGTAGTGAAAGTTTAGTTTTTTTTTAGTGGGAATGGACGGTGGATTATTCATGGTACAGGTCAAATGCAAAGTTAGCGGCTTAAAAGGAGATGTATTTTTTTAAAAACATCTATCTATCCATCAACACTGGTCCAAGTCTTCATCCTCCTAGAAACCCTCACCTTCCTCCTCTCAAAGCTCTCTCCCACAACCCTCCAACTGCCCCCCTCATTATCCCCATCATCGGTCCTTTTCCAACTCCTCTCCAACAACTTTGCGCTCTAACATAACGCGGATCTTGACCAGTTCCTTGGTTGCGTCTGTATTGACAACGTTGCTCAATGTGCCCGAGAGCAGCCTGACGAGTAAGAAAAAGACGGCGTTGTGATTGTATGAGAAAAGAAGCTCATTCTCCAGGTCCAAGAGGGATATGCTGTTCTCTGGGGTCGGGAGTGACGGGAATTCGGGGGATTGGAGGGATGTGCTGGTCGTGGTGAGGGAGGTGGTGATTGTTGTTACGGCTTTGAGAAGGTCAGGTGGTGGGGGCATGTGAGATTGTGTGTGCGTTGTTTCATGGTTGATTTCAGGTCTTTTTTGTGGGGAAATTGTTGTAGTATTATAGGGGCATGGGGGGAGTGGGGGTAGAAGTGTGAAATTGCAAGGTAGGTGGGGGAATGTGGAGGGATAGGTGGGTGCTGGGGATTGGGTTGCGGTAATCATTTGTCATGTCTCAGGTCTAGGACTCTCCTTTACTTTCCTTTCGACCGAGTGGCTGAAGCGCTATCTGCACTTTTTATATTAGCAGTTAGTAAACATATACACCTGAAAATTTTAAGTCTTGGTTCCTTGTGAACTTACCGTTTGGTGGATGCTAACGAAGCCCACGAAAAACCTGCAACGCCCATGTGGATAATTCTGCCTTGGATATAGTAATATCGGTTCCCACATCGTAACCCGTATCAAATAATGATTTGTAGGAAATAACAAGGTCTGGGTGTAATGGATCATGAATAACATTGCCGCAATGATCAATTTCGAAATATTGAGTATACTTAGAAGTTGACTTCATTGGGGATTCAGTAGGGTTACCCACTTCGTCCACTTCGCCCACTTCATCCACTTCACTCACTTCGCCCACTTCGTCCACTTGGTCTGCTTCATCCGCTTGGTCCGCTTTGTCTGCTTCATACACTTTGCCCTGTTCATCCACTTTGTTGGCTTTATTGGCTTTGTGGGCTTCATCTGCTTTGTCTGCTTCGGCGGCTTCAGCGGCTTCGCCTTCTTCCTCTTCTTCGTCTTCATCGTCTTCGTCTTCATCTTCTTTGTCTTTGTCTTCATTGGTTTCGTCAGCTTCGTCTTCGTCATCTTCGTCATCTTCGTCATCTTCGTCTTCGTCATCTTCGTCATCTTCGTCTTCTTCGTCTACCTTGGCTGATGACCTTTCCCACCGTTCTAAATGCAATGACTTTGGGTCCATCTCAAGGCTGATCAAAATAACCATTCGGGTCTGTTCGTTCGAATGGTCTAACCACCAACAAGCATCCTGGCGGAGGGATAGCAGGGAGTTCGACATACCCACTTCGATCATAAGAGATGGCCACTCATCTCCATCAGCCCGGGTATCCGCTGGTTTGATCCCTTCATCACCCTCCTTACTCCGCTTCCCGGGAACCGAAAACCTTGTACTCCCCACCGGCAGAATGGAATCCTCGGAATGGCCTGGGAGGGCAGCTATCTTGAACGCCAGTTTTATCAAAAAACTCCTACTTGCCCTCTCGTGTACTTCGCTGGGCATACACCTAATAACCATGGCCTCCAGATCGTGTTCATATGTGAATCGGACGGAGTTACGAATTCCAAGATTTTGGAATGCATCATCAATCTCGTCTAACTTTGCTTCAGCAACTCCACTGACATGTATGTAACATCCGGTCCTTGACCCCACACAGTGGCGAACCCTGGTAGCCATACGACTGGCAAGACTAGCAGGCGTGCCAAATATGAATTTGTTATTCCCAAGAATTTGAGCGGAGAGATTTTTGAAAGCAGTACTAGGCTCTTCCAGGGAGGGGGTGTCAAAACTTGCAATCTCGGGTGAGTTGACAGGTGAAGCCACGGGTGAGGCGGCCTGGGAGCCATTTTGACTTATTTCTGCAGGACTAGTTAGAGGGGTCCATACCGTTTTTGGGGACTCGGATGCTGCTTGGCTTGAAGGTTGAGAAGAAGAAATCGGTCCTAATAGTTGATTATTGGCTATGGTAGTGTAAATCTCAGTCATAGTAATAACGGTTTAATTCCCAAAATCTATGATTCTAGTTGTAGAAATGTGAAGTCGTAGGGCTGTAGAGTGGAGTTGTGCTTGAGAGAGGATAAAAATCGATTGAATAAGGACACCAGCTATAAGCAGTGGTCCTTCCGATTGACCGGCCAGAGGGCCGTTATGGAGGTTCGTTATGGAGGTTCGTGGGAGGCTCCGAGGACCCAGGATAGTGGACCGAGGAGAGGTGGGAGCGAGGGAGAATTTTGGAGAAATAGATCCTGGGAACCGGGTGGTTTGTGAGAAAAGGCCACAGAGAACTCGAGTTCCACGAAGAGTGGTAGAGCAATTCCCGTTCAGGTTCTCTGTTGATTTCAAACTTGACGAAGGTGGCTCGAAATTCTGAGGGGAGGGTAAGGTTAAGAGCGGTTGCTGTGAGGATGATTTTGTGGTGGTTGAGAAAAGAGATGATGTGTTCAAAGATGGTAAGAGATGCCTTTGTGCGGGGTCATGAAACAGGTTTGAAACCGGCGAAAGTGGCTAGACAGTCAACGCGAAGGGGAACCCATGGAGTGATTCAGGTGCAAGGTTAGATCTTTTTGAGATGAAGAGATCGGAAGCAGAGTGAGGCATAGAACGGGTAGAAAGGCAAACTACAGTATGTAGGTGAAGTAAGGAGTCTGTGTTTGGATGTGAGGGTGGTAGCAGTGATGGTGGTGGTGCAAGTTAGACCGGGTGAGGGCTCAGCGAGGCTTGGCAAGATTTGGTAGCAATGGCAGCCAGCGTTCAACGACAGTAGCAAGCCAAGCCGTGCCATGCCTCGCTGAGGGTGTCGCCTCGCTGAGCCCTCACCCGGTCTATGGGTACCGTATTGGGAGGAGTTGATTTGGAAAGGGAGATAGGACTGAAGAAGAGGGATGGTTTGGGTGGTATGTGGCTGGGACCAATGGAAAGAAAAAGAAATGAGGTGGAAGAAAAGTAGAAACCAACTCCACCTACTGGCGCAAACCAGCTCTACCTACCAACACAAACCAGTTCCGCCTATCAATAACCACCAAGAAAGACTCCAGTATCTTTAAACAAGCCCTCTACTCTGAACCGTCCTCTTTTTTTTTTTTTTTTTTTTCCACCAAGTTCAAGTTACCCCAGATCTACAAGGAGCCTCTAGATTGCACGGTCCCGATCTTTCTACCATACCGGTATGCCTTCCTATTATCTACCAGTTCCTTCCACCTTGGTTTAATTTGACTAAAGCGGTTGCACCCTCAGCGAGATCGCACCCTCAGCGAGATTTGTATGAGTAAGCAAATGCCAAGTCAGTTTTTTTTTTCTTCAGATAGGCCACCGCTAGCCTACATCAGCAAAAACAAGTTGCTTAAGTTCACTGCATCCTGTACATCCTGTAATCCCTGTTTGCATCCTGATTTGAGGTTTGCATCCTGTCATCCCTGCTTGCATCCTGTAATCCTTGCTTGCATCCTGTAAATGACTTTGCCTCCTGTAAAGGTAAAATCCTTCCACATACTTACCTGCTAATACCACACATTATATCTAAGTTTGAATGGAATCAGAGTATGATTTATTATACATACAGGGATTAGAAATTATGGACTTCAGTTTTCGAAAAATTCTACAAATCCCTAAATATGTCCATCAGTTGTCAAGCTCATAGCCTTAGATTTTGAATACATCTAGTTCATAATACTACTATTCTTATACCATAACGGCTTTTTGCTCAATCAAAGATTTATCACTGAGACTGTGCGTCAGGATGCAAACCTCAAATCAGGATGCAAGCAGGGATTACAGGATGCACAGGATGCACCAAATGACAGAAAATACAAATAGTTTTTTTTGCTGATGTACATGAGATAGGTACCCACCCCCCTCCCCCTCCCACCCCCAGCTTAACACGACAACCTTACAAACCAAAAATCATTCCTCCCATTCAACTCTCAACGCCTCCACAGTCTTCATCCAAACTGCCTTGATTGAAAATGAAGCAGTAAGTCATATCCTACTTGAGAAATATTAATCATTCTATATTTTTTTACTAAGAATTATGACAGATTCAAAACAAGAAAAAAGTGGAAGAAAGGGAAAAGAAAAAATTCAAACTCACTTCCGTCTTCCTTTCCTCTCATCAATTAACTACTTCAAGTTGGTAATTCCTCTGGTTGAAGAAAGGTGGGTGAGTCCTCTACGGGAGGGGAGGAAAGGTAGATAAATCCTCAGCCAGAGAAAAGATCGGTAATTCTACTACAGGGGAAAAGGTAAGTAATTCCACTGCCGGGGGAAAGGAGGATGCCCGATCCTCACCACCTTCACTATCCTCACTTGATTCATTTTCTAATCTCTCTGCAGATAGTAGTTCTTCCTTGGCCTTAGACAATCTGTCATCAAATTGATGAATCTCATCCGTTAATTGGAGTGATGTTTTCCAACGCTTCGGTAAACGACCCCCCCCCTCCAGTTTCTCAGCCCGCCTCCTCCTAACTAACAATGCATCGATTTTAGTTTCGATTGCTGAAATCTGTTTCCTTCGTCGATTGATCATGTCTTGATGCTTTCGTCGATTGATCATGTCTTGATGCTTTCGATGCCTTTCAGCTTCACGGTGTGAAAAAAAGTCAACAATATCGTTACGGGAGAGGAATCAAGTTCCATGGTCGGGGATAAGCTTTCGTTTTGTCTTTTTCTTTTGTCGGATGTTATGGATTTCTGTTTGAAGGGAGTGGATTTGTTGTTCTTTGAGGTTGTTTTCAATCATTTCACGTTCGGCACAATGGACAATGTTTTCTGTAATGCGTCGTTGACGCCAGCTTTGTGGAGAACAAGGAGCCATATTGTCTAAAATCAAGTTTCCTTGAATTTGGAGTTGGATAGGATCCTGTGGTACACCAAGCTGAACGACTTCTGTTAGGTCGATATCGCATAAGCGCTTGTCAGATGAAGCATGTCGTCGGTTTTCTTCAGTTGTTCTTGCTTTCTCGCGGGCTTGCTGTTCTTGTCATAATTGTCGTAATATGATCTCCCCATCAGAAGGTATGATTCCAGTGTTCCAAAAACCACTGTGGATATTCTCTGCCATCAATGCTTTAATTCTAGCCTGGCTAACAATGCTATAGAAGTTTCGTTTGTTGACTCCGCGTTCCCGGTTTTCGAATCTCCATTGGAGCTCCACTCGATAAGCATGCTTATAAGGACTAAACACGGATACATCAAGTGGCTACAGGCAGTGACTAGTATGAGGTGGAAGACAAATAGGTATAACCCGACATTTGATGCAGTACTCAAGGAAGTTGATATTAACATGGGAATTGTGACCATCGAAGAGTAGGATCCGGTATCGAACTCCTGCCTTTTCTACTGACCGACTGCCAGGTCCAAAGTTTTCCCTTAACCAACGTAAGGCAACCTCTCCATCAGTCCACCCATTAGGAGACTTGCCAAAAAGAATATTGTCTGGCACATCCGGTAAGTCTTCAAACCATTCTTCTCGAAAGTCCTTTGCTTTAAAAATTATCATTGGATCCAAGGCCGATCCATCACCACAAATTACTTCAACAACAGTGGCAAGTTCGCGGTTTCCTGGCTGACTGACAAATAGTTTACCATCCTTCCGTGGCTTATCGATAATATCAATGACCTTTTCGGATGCGATTAATCCCATAATAAATCTGGTCTCATTGACATTATATGTGTTTTGTGGTAAGACTTCATATTCTCGAACTACTTCATCATACTTTATACTAATTATTTTGAGTTCCAATAATAGTTTGTCTTATCTGATGTTTTTTTTTGGTTCAGTTTGATGACTTACCATTTTGAAAAAGGTAGATATAGCTTCAAGATTATTCCCCTGCACTGTTCGTATATAGTCAATGGGCTGACTATATTGTGTTTTGACATTTGGATGTCGCTTGTAGAATCCTTGGAGCCAACCCTGACCTAAAATACCTGTTGGAACTCGTCTTCGATAGATATGTATTCCAATATCTACAAATTTGTAGATATTGGGAGGAAACCCCCACTGTCCCAGCTGGAATGCTCGATCAATCAAGGCTTTCTCTTCCGCTGGTGTCATTCGTTGCTTGGTCTTATCACTATCCTCTCTGGATAATTGTCCTTTCTGTTTGAAAAGAAAGGTAATTTAGTAAGTTAATTGTTAATTTTCTTTCATGGTTTATACCTTCCGATGATTGAATGTTGAGTATGGAATATCAACTGTCTGAGCTGCCTCCTTTTGTGATTTTACCACTCCCTCCTCAAGCATTTCCATTCCAATCTGTTCTCGTACATCTTTCTCCATTGATTGTTGCTCCATTGCTGCTATTCTTTTCTTTCTGTTTTGTCTTAAACTGAATTCTGTTTTTTAATAAGTGTCGCTACTTGTATATTTATATTTATACTATTACGTCAGACTGAATTAACTATTTTCATAAAATTACCTCAAACTTACGTATGTCTTGGCCAATTATTATGTCATGATCTCGCTGAGGGTGCAACCGCTTTAATATTTTGATTTATTCAGGTTGCATAAGTACCCAGACCTCTTTTCTTCTACAGCGGTAACTAGCAGTATTGTTAAATTTGTTTTGGGGTGAACAGCCCAAAAACAGGTGTTAATCACTTGGTCTTTATTTGTCGCTCTTATCACATGTCTTATATTGGGGAAGATTTTCCAAGTCTCCTACCTCTCAAGTGAAGCATAAGGGGACCGATCCCAAATGTATCCTTCGTTCTGTTCTCTTTTTATCGAGATTTTAGCCTTTCTCCAATATTATCATACTAAGGTGTAGCATGACACCCTACCCTATTTAAGATCCAATAGAGATTCATTTGAACGCACTCACCATGTCTGGTGTCTCAGGCTTTATTTATGTCAGCTGATTTAAAGTGGATGCCCTTTGATACCTGATTTGCCAAAAGTAGTTACTGCCACTATTATCAAAAACTAGTGTGTGCGAAGACTTTTTTAACATTTCCTTTTTATGTCTGCGAGGATTTTACCCTGACCCTAGTACAATTACTGTGTCATCCACAGAACTCGCAGCGGCTGCCGCCTATTTCCCGGTTCTTAGAAGTTATTAACATTGGTCACAGTCACAACTCAAACACATTGCCAGAACTTCGTTGGTTTCATTCAGGAGTGGCAGTGCGTGTGCTTGCTTGCTATTATTGGTTGCGATGCAAAATCCCATACAAATTGGCTGTCTTGGCATGAATTTTGGCATTGCCTTCTTTAAAAATTTATTCGGCCCCCTCCAGGACGCGTTCCTACGGCATTGTAATCCCAGCATAAGCCTTTCAGAATTCAGAACCATTCCTATAGTCTGACATTTAACTATGTGAATCTTTGGATTAAGCTCTCTATCAATAAATTTTTTATGGAGTTGACAGGCGTGTACGAAAAGTGGTGGTTTGTATGGAAAACCGGGGGGGCACGTTTCTTCTGTTGCCAGGCTCGTGGAGTGCCCTTAACACCGAATGATGGGCGATTTGGTAGCTGCTGTGATGTGCTGGGCGGCAACGATGCGCCAGGTCATGGTGCGCAGCCCCTGGAAGAACTTGTTGTTTGCTCGGGAGGATCAAAAAAAGGATCCTAACGCGCCCCAAAGAGGCATCCAGGGCACCGCTTTCGGACCCTCATCGTAAAAGATCACTCGATTAACCAATTTAACTAGAGAATACCATTGCTTAGTAAGGTGACATAGGCCAGAGCACGCCAGAATTGTAATCTTTCGATCGGACAGAATTCCACAGTTTGCGCAAAAGATACTGGTATCATACATTGCAAGAGGCCCCGATTACGGTATGATGCTCCCAATGCTTCAAGGCGATACGGGCAATTTGGTGAGGTGAAGAGGCTCCAGGGGTCGGGTGTTGCTCCCCGATTACCGTAGACGTTCCGTATTATGGTATATGCCCACACACAGGTTAACCCCCCTCGTGCGAGGCAGACATGATCCTATCTCTGGTTGCTGGAATGCGGAACGCTGGAAAGTGTATCTAGAAATATACGTGCGGCAGTACTAGTACTGTACTCTTGGGAACGTGGCGGCAACAAGGGGCTATTACTGAATCTGGGAATGCCACAAGTGAAGCTTGACTAACATGTTCCCTTCTCCTCCAACTCCGTTTAGGATAGGCTGGCGGTGTGCGAAACATATCGCCTTTCGATTTATGCCTGACGATTAATATGGATGTTCAATTGTAAAAAGCTTTAGCTCAAGGAGGAAAGGAGGAAAGAGAGAAGGAAAGGAAACTCTATTTTGTGACAGCCCATGCGAGCACTCGAGTGCGATGGTATGGGTGGTAATAATACATGTGAGAAATCGAAATGCCACTCGTGATAGAAAACAACACGGCCACCATTAGAATATGATTACAAAGTCTTAACCGATTGGAAAAATGGATCATTCTCCAATGCTTCCTTGTACTCCGGCGCTTGGATTAATTTTATGAGCTCGCCCCTCATCTCAGCGGGGGTCATCCCCGAATTCTCCACCCTATTTTTCCACTCAACTAACACTTCCTTGAGGAGCGTCGACCCCTCTGCAATCTGCTCTTTGGTACAGTTGGTCGCCTTACGTTCATGCTTGCCGGTAAAGTCTTCGAGTTCATCTGCTTTACGCTTAGCCATGTTGATCACCTTTTGTGGGAAGCGAACAAGTTCCGCGACATGAATGCCGAAACTCTGGTCGCAGACGCCTATAGTCACACACACCGTTAGGATCTCCGTTGACTGACCACGCGGAGTATCTTCACAAACCTTCGTCAACTTTATAAAGCAGAGTCACCTCCCTCGCATCCTTGTCTCCGACATGCGCAACGACATGCAGGTTCTTTACAGAGGGGTATTCGTCGACCAGTGCCGTCAGCTCGTGGAAATGGGTTGCAAACATGGCAAAACATCTAATTTCCTTGACGATGTGTTCTGAAATAGCCCACGCAAGCCCGAACCCATCATAGGTGCTAGTGCCCCGCCCAAGCTCATCGATGATAATCAAGGACTCGGAGGTGGCCGACTTGAGGATGGTCGAGGTCTCCAACATCTCAGCCATGAATGTGGACACGCCCTTCATTTGCGAGTCGCTGGCTCCAACACGAGCAAGTATGCAATCAAAAATCGTCAACTCCGCCTCGGAGCATGGGACGAAGCATCCAACCTGAGCCATTAGAGCGATGACGCCGATCTGCCGAATGTAGGTGGATTTACCGCCCATGTTGGGACCAGTGATTATCAAAAACTCGGAGCTACCTCTGCATAAGCTGACATCGTTCGTAATGAATTGAATATCATCCTGCATTTCCATGCATGGATGCCGGGCCTCTTTAAGAATGGTGCTTCCCTCTCCTCTTGCATGCATCTTCGGCTTGACATATGGTGATGGAGCATGAACCGAAACATGAGCGAAACTAACGATAACGTCCAGATGGGCAAGCACAGCGGCCAATTCTTCCAGAACCGGGCAATAGGAAGCTATAGAGCATTAGCACTCGGGGGAGAGAGGATTCGCTGACCCCACCGAAACTCACATGCTACAGTGACAACTTCATCCACTAGCCCGCTCTGTGTCTTGTTATATATGTGCGTCGACTTATCGAAATCCCGCTTCAGATCCTGCATGGCAGTGGTGGTAAAGAAAACACCATTCTTCATGGTTGATATCTCCCTATATTCCTTCTGATTCCTTATTGAGCCTGCCTCGGCGCGAGTCAAACGGAAACACCATCCATATGTCTTGTGGTTCTCCATGAAAAGCTTCTTGTCAACTTCCTGGCCCAGGTCGCTTCCGACCCTGCGGTGCTCGGTGTCCATTGCCCTCTTCAGTTTATCCAGCTTGTCCCGAACCAATTTGAGGTCATCACTAAATTCTGGCTTGATAATGAACTCGTGGTTGTCAAGAGCATCGAGATCCACAGTGGTTTCGACCAGCTCCTGTAGCTTTTCCAAGTTGCCGCATATTTCCTGAAGGGCATGTCAGCAGAGACACCTAGCCTGTTGGGGAAAAGTTTTTACTTGTAGTTTGGTTGTGTATTGCAGATCGAGCGGATCCCTATATGTCTCATCCATCACACCCTCAAAGGTTGAAATGAATCCCGGAATTCTGATGGCGACCTGGTATGCTCTGACAACATCCTCTAGGTTTGCGAAGCCCTTTTGGAATCGCTTAGAGAGCCGGTAAAGATCTGGTATACTCTTCAAGTGCTCCTCTTGCATGGTCTGCCGGAGTTCGGTGTCTTCAACGAACGCTTCCACCAAAACTTGGCGTTTTTCGATCTCTTCAAGGCTCATTAAAGGTTGCTTGAGCCATTGGCCCAGTAGCCGAGTCCCTATGGCAGTCTTGCATTTATTAAGGAGGCCGTATAACGACATGTTCTTTGACCCATCTCGAGGCCCAGGCATCAAGTTAAGCGCTTTAACTGCTGACGCATCCAACTTCATATACTGGGCAAGATCGTGCTGGTAGAGACGGTATTGACCAAAGTTAAGATTGTCGTTCATAAGCTGTAAATATCGTATCAAGGCGGAAGCGGCTGCCATGGCAAACTTGTTCTCCACTTGCGGCAGGATGCCGGCAGCAACCTCGCTTGTAAGGAGTCGGGAGAGGTCTTGTTCGATGTCCTTGATTGAAAACTCGGAAGCCTTCCGAAAGGTCATAACTATCCCACAACGCTCGATAATCCCCCGAAGTTTTCCAAGCTCATAATCCTTGTTCTTCTCATCCGATTGAACAACGCATTCCTTGACCCCAAGTTGGATGATGAGAGACTAGGCTGGAGGTTAGCAACAGCGGAGCCCCCGGCTGACAACTTCCAGAGACCACTTACTTCGAAGTTAGAGTATAGGTCGTTATCGGCAAACTCGCTCACGCCTAGCTCCCGAACACTAGCATCGGCAAAGCAAACACCAACATTCCGCTCCTCCCCCTTGACCGATATCCTCACAGCAAGGATCATGGGGGATGAGTCTATCTGGCCGGCAAGATCATCCTCGACATCTTGAAGATTTCCTGGAGAAGCCTGCTTCGTAATGCCCCACTTATTCCTCAACTTTGCTCCCCAGATCTCCACCCGTTTTCTGTTCTGGAAGAGGCATTCGCGAAGGAAATTGCGGTAGGCGGTAACGGACAGTGTACACGACTCAAGGGGGTTTCTCGAGCTACCTAACTGTCGGATAACAGACGTGGTTTTATAGATCTATGGGAGAGCAGTCAACACCTGGGGGGCATGGGGAGCGGTTCGGATTAGGGATGTACCGTCTGGGCGACATAGATGGCATCCTGCCCGTGAACAGTGTAGTAGTCGTTTCTGTCGAAGAGCCGAATGGCATCCGTCTCGGGAAGGCCATTGAAGAAGGAAATGAAGGCATTCTCATCCTCAACCTGTGGCGAACAATGATTAATTAGAGGCGAGAAACGGGAAAGGGAGCCCAAGTGGGGAGTATGCATGCCTTAAGCTCAGGGCGCGAGCCCATTGTACAAATATTCTGTTCAAATATTCAGCAATCGGTGTCAAGTTCGGTAAATTTTCGAGATCGAATGGTCGGGGCGATAAGCTTGAGTTGGGATGAAAAGGGTGGGTCAGGAAGGGAGACGCGCTCAGGGTGCGACAATTTCTGGAGCTATCGTTACCAGCGCGCCGTTGGACTATGATAGTCTACAAGTACGGTACAGGTTGGACTGACATGCCCCGGGAGACGCGTCGAGGACTCGGAAATGGAGTCTTGGCGCATGTTTTCTCCAACGCGAATCCGTGCGGCTCACGCCCACTTTGCCGGTACGAGTATCACACAGTACCGTATCTAGGCGAGGGCTGTCACACGCCAAAGCAAAAAAAGGGCTCCATCTGGATGCCAAGCGTCCGAAATACTTTATAAATGGCCAAGTACTCGTACTCTACTCGTATGATACCAGTAATCCTAGGGAAGGCTCCCGCCCCAGTCCTAGTCTATGATATGCGGACCGCCGGGGAATAAGTTCTTGTCCCCCCGTGGATCGGGAGATGGCTCCAACCATGATATGATACAGTCATTATCATAACCGTGGTGATCACTGAGACTTGTTCGAATGATAATCCCGACCGCGATTTTAAGAGTGATACTAGCACAGTACTCGAATAGTACCGGTATTAGGCTCTTGCCAAGGGCTAGAGGGGGAGAGGGTGGCGACACGATGAACCGATCACAATCATCCTTTCTTTCCTTCACCACGAGCAGAATGCCCGGTCCCCAACCATGATACCAGTACCAGCACAGTGCTAGAGCACAGCGCTGGCACGGGCATCGCCACATACCCAAGAAGGATGAAGTGCGTGCATCCGGAGTAACAGTGCCGTGGTCTGCGATGGTATCACGATGTTGCCGGCCTGGCATCTTGGGCGTGCCCTCAAGGGAGCGAGTGCTACGATGCTACACCCGTATTTTCACCATCAGCATGCTCATATATCCGGCAGTTGAACTGAATGGGGACGGTTACTTACTGATACATCTGGCGGCCTGACTGACTATCATGATTTCGGGATGGAAACTCAGGCACCTTTTTCGCAACCCCGGCGACGGCATGATAAACCACATTTGCAAGCGTGCATATACCGGGGGTTATCATAAGTTATGGCTGTTCTGTCGGTTACACCATGGCACAGCAGGGAAATCATGGGACGGGACAGGGACGAGGCTCAGGGCATACCGGTATGGACCGTATGGTGGTCCCTCTCCAAGTCAATTTACTTGAGTACGGTACCAGTACCGTATCGTACCCGCACGGAAGCCAAGCACAGCACCAGCGCCGGTATGGTGCACTACGGTGCCGTACCGGTGTGTTTTAGTCCTGGCTCCGGCTTTGCCATCAGAAGCGCTGTGGTGGTGATGAAGTGCCTTTGTATGTCTCACTGCTCATACCGGCAGGGTCATGCGCACTCATCATGTTCTACAGTACCTTGTCAAGACTCTTTTCTTTTTTCCCCGGCAAGATACTTGTAGTACAGTACAAGCTGTAGAGCGATTTCGGTCTATGCTGGAGATGTTGTACTCGAGAACCGGTACTGTACTACGAGTAGTACGGTACGGTACTCGGGGACAGCAGGCTTTCCACTCCGGCTTTGTTCAGCGCGTGTGCCACTCTATTGGATCCGGATGCTGGTCATCGGCTCTTCCCAGATTCTACTTTTGGACACACAGGTTCACTTGCTCTTGGCAACTCCCGTAGGGAGCAGGGAGATTCAGGGTTTGGATCCTTCGGGAGCTGTGCCCTGCTGCCAAGACACTAGAGAAGGCGACAAGGGGTCGGGTTGACGACTAACTACCACCGGTATACTGTAGTATCATATCCTATCATATCATACTCGCTGGATATCCATCAGCTCCTAGGCTTCTCCCCTATCCCCCCTCCCTCCCCCCCGAAAAAAGCGCCACTCTCTCCGCTACCCTTCCCCCTGGATTTCTCCCTTCTTCACCCGAGAGACCCCATCGTCAAAAAAGCCGCCATGGAAAACACACCCCTTACCCCTTCCTCTTCTGCCCCAACACCCAGTGCAACACCTCCGGGAACCATCTCGAACACGGGTTCCGAGGCGGAGAATCAATCAAAATTAAAGCATGTGGTTCTCGTTCGATTCGCCCCTTGGGCCACCGGCTAACCATCGATTTTCTTGGACCTAGGACTCTACTCGGTATTTTGCGACGTTTTATCGGAGTGGCTGATATTGCTTCTGTCCGTTTTTCATTGCCGAGTCAGCTACTTGAACCCGTGCCCAATTTAGGTGAGAAAGGGTTTCTCGGGTTGCATAACGAGCCCTACATACTGAATTGTTGAAAAAGAGTACTGGAATTACCTGGATCGTCCTGAAACCTTTGCTAGGTAAATGGCGGAAAATGCTCCTCTCACTTCTCCACTAATATTGTCTAGCATTGGCGAATCCGACGATGAGCTCGAACGTTTCTTGGGAGTTTTAAGGTTTTGGTTTACCAAAGATCTGGTCAGATAGCGAAGATAACCGTGGCATGGGGCAAAGAGCTAACCTGGATCCATTTTTGAAGAAATTCGTCAAGGGAAAGCCGTGCAAGGTAAGATATTTACAAGCGACCCGGCGCGGATAAATGCACCGCACCCCGGAGCAGTTGCTGACCTTTCTCTCTACAGCCGTACAATTCAACATTGGGGGAATTTTTCAGGGTACCTTTCCAGTTGCTAAGTCGGTTGGGAGCCAATTGGCTGATTTAGGTGTTCGCTGGGTAAAAACAGTGCAGTTGGGATGTTCAGGAGACACTGCCGCCTGTTCCATCCCGCCCTTCTTCCCGAAACTCCCGGAATTCTGCGGCGAGTAAGCCTTCTCAGGCCGGTAGCAAAGGGCCCGTTCGTGTCTCATTTTTGACGGAACAGACCTCCCACCATCCCCCGGTCTCAGCCTTCTACATCGACTGCCCTGAAAAGGGTGTATCAGCGAACGGATATGATCAGGTATGGATCGGGAATTCCCGAGGGGAATCTAAGATCAGTGCTTACCGAAAGCGCCATTTTAGATTAGTGCCAAGTTTACAGGGACCTCTAGTACGTGAAATGCAATTCCAGAGGCTTATATTAGGAAGTACACTTACCTCGTCAAGTCAGGGTGACTCCTGGGGTCCATAACCTCGGCATTTTCATCAACTTGCACAAGCGTGGGGATGAATCCTATCGACTCACTCACCCCGCCGTGAATCTGGGAGGATTCTTGAGAGGTACGTGTGGCATTGGCGGCTGGTGGCATGATTATTCACGAACTATACCTCTCAGGAACTCTAAACCTATATGTCGAGGACATCTGCTACGTGACTTGCCCCAAAACAAAATTGAAGGCTGTACTGCAGTATCTGGGAGATTCTTGGATCGGGAAAGCAAAGCATAAAGTTGAGGGAGTCGTCTATCAGTATATTCAAGAGGACGATGGTATACAGAAGCTTAAGGATGTTCCCTCAAAACTAGTGCGTGCCAAGATTGAGGGATCATGGATGAGTCAATTGTATTACACTGTACCGGGCTCCAATGTAAGCCCTTCCTTTACACTCTCGGAAGCCCTTCTGGTGGTCGTTGTTCTTACTCTGATTGGATCTACAGGAGAAACACCTATTGATAGACCTGGATCCTCTTTTCCCTGAACCAAAGACTTGCCCGCCACCGGACGCTATGCTTCCAAACGAGTCTCGGAAGATGTGGGAAGGTGTCACTGAAGCCATTCATGCCAGAGATTACAGCCGCGCCACACAACTCAAATCGGAGATTGAGGAAAGGCAGCGCGAGAAGGCGGCCGCTAGGGCGGTGGAAGGTGTCGAATGGAAACCAAGGTTCTTTGAAGCCCCCGCCTTGGCCGCTGGGAGGCCCAGGTTGAGCGCAGATGGTGAGATGGCGTTGAAGGGGTTACATACCGGCGATTACAAACTGGAGCCAGCAGCAGTTACCGGGGCTTGAAATTCCCAGGATAACCGAACGAGTAAAAGTTCACACCATTCATACCTGATTGCCTGGAACTGTTCACGATAGTGGAGAAACGGTAGCAACGGAAACCGAAGAACGAAATAATGTGAAGGCTCTCGATTTGATTGCACCCACTAGTTATTTCTCCCGTTCATTGTCTTGTCTTGTATGATTTTTTCGGGGTTCTACCCTCCTCCCCCTTTTTTTCCTTTTTTCCTTTCTCTTTTTCTCTCTGCTCGAGTCTTTCCTTCTAGTGGGCTATCACCGGTTCACATACACTGTTTAAATACCTTTTAGAAATGTCCAATTTTGGGGTGCGAATATGTTGAAAAGGGAGGAATAAAGAGAGATGCAGTACATTACATTGCTTTATCGTTACCTATGCCTTTAGAGGATAGGAGTTTTGTGGGGTGGGGAGGGGAAGCCAGGTGGAAGTGTGTTAATGGAAGGGGGGCAGTTGTTCAAGTACGATAGTAGAGAATTGAGCTAGCTTGTTAGGTTACTTTGGCACCAGCACAAATATTCGTTGGGCGATTACTAAACGTATGATACACACTGTTGGGCAAACCCATAAGGAATCTGGAAACCTAAACTTACTACAGTACAGGGGAGAGGGGGAGGAGAGGAAAGGGAAATAGAAAATAACTATAAAAAAATAGCGGAACTAAACAGGACAGAACTCCGATTCACCAAACCCGGCTAATATGCATTCGCGCACTCCAACAAGAGCCCAAAAACGTTAGAACAAAACTCTAAATATGGGCGGTCTTAGGGCATAAACAAAATTCTACCATCTATGCTTCCTTCCTTCTATTCGCGGAAGTGTGGGGGGGGAGGACAAGGTCGAGTCAGTACTATGATACTAGGAAGCAGCACTAAGCCCACTCCTCATATTCTCAACCATATTTTGCCCAATGCCCTTTATCATCCCGAGTTCTTCCAGGTCCTTGATGGCGGGAAAGCCATCGTCATCGCCCATCATGTCACCCGCCTGGCGACGCTCTCTGACAGCCTGGGCAAGTGCTTCCGCACGCTTCTTGCCGACGCCCTATAAAACCCCAAGGTCCTCAGTCTATATTACGTTCACTATGGAGCGAGTGATTGGACGTGATGCAGTGGGTCGCATACCTTCAACTTCATTATCTGCGAAACATCCTCCGAGTTGATTATCCTCAAGAGGTTCTTTGTCCGGGGCGTTTGCTGGGTGTTTGGTGACCATTCCTCCTCTTCGTTTCCATCGTCTTCGTATTCCGAAGTGGTGTCTTCCCCCATGTCGGCGGTGGCTAGCAGGGAACGATGAGCAGGTTGTTGCTGCACGTCGTTACCAATATCGGAGAAGACGGCGAAGGTTCGTTTGGGTTTTGGTCTAGGCACCGGCGCAGGTGCTTGTGTGAATGTTTCCTCTGTTACGAAGACCTCCTGGCGAACGGAGGAGTAGGACAAGGATTTTCTATTGGTGGTGTTGAGGGATGGTGCTGGGCCTGAGGAGTTCCGCATTGTGGCCTTAACCGCGGTGTTCTTGTCTTTGTCTTTTAGGTCGGAGATTTTCTTGAGGAGTTTGCCGTTTTCCGGGAAGTACGGAACGGCTAGCTCATACATTTTCAGAGCGGAGAAGTTTTCGCCTCTTGCCGCATGCTGTTCTATTTATTCATTTCGGTTAGTTGGAGTGGCTGGGGATATTATGTATGGAGCTTACTAGCAAGTAGTATGTAGGTAAGGCCCTCTGCTTTGGCGTCTGCTTTTTTTTCGCTGTAAATTTGAGTTAATACCCAATCCCCCCCCTAATAGCGTAGTTATCAACTTACAGTTTCTTTTCCAACAGCTCGAGCCTCTTATTCACTTCATCACTTACATCCGCAGCCGTCCTTTTAGCTGGTTCGTTCAGTGCTCTAGCAGCTAATATTTCCTCTACCTTCTTCTCAACAATATCTGCAATATTTGTAGGACTGAGTTGATGGCGCTTATCATAAGATCGCATAGGTTTCTTGATTCCAGAAGTTTGCCGTAATGGCTGGGGTGCTAGAGGCACCCGATTTGGTGGTTTCAGTACTCTATCCTTCTGGGAGCCCTTTTGAGGGTTAGAGACATGTGCAGTGTTTGTCTTTGTCGTCCCAAAAGCTCGTGTGGGTCCATGTTGGCTTAGCATTGGAGGAAGTTGGTCGTGCCGTGATGGGAAGGAAACTAGTAACTTTAGTATTTCCATTCGATACCCTGTGGTCCTCGGTCTATTACCCTGAGAATGCTCGTTCTCTGCCTGTTTCAACTCAATCTTCTTTGTCCGATTTGCAAAGTTTAGAGAGCTTAGGGTATCAAGATGGAATGCTCTAGTTGGCGCAAGATTCAATATCATGACTGTAAGGCCATTATTTTGTCCAAGTGATAATATGCGAGTCATCTTTGACTCTCTATACGGTATCCTACTCTGCAAAACTGTTAACAAATGACTATATTGTGGGAGGTTAGATGTCGGACCTGTTTCTTGGTCATAGCCTCTACGCACTGAGCTAGCACAAATAATGACTTATTGATACTAGCAGATTCTTATATATCGTTAGTGAAGAACATTCAAACCCAGACCCTGGTAACAGAAAGGGTATTCACCTGTCATTCTTTCCTTGTCATTGCACGTACGCCTGTTATCTTCACTACCAGCCAAATCAATACACGAGACAATCCCCGTCTTGCTTTCTCCTGCGTTTCTGTCCTCAATCACAACATTGACACATATCACCGCATGGGACCTAGAGGAGTGCGCATTCAGCTTGGTAGCAGACGTCGAACGGTTGGCATTGGCCCTGTCGTACAAGACCTCGAACTCCTTCAACGAGGTGATCTCCTTATCAATTAAACCAACGACTTGAGTTTTTCCGTTCGACTCCCGGAGGGGTAGCCCAGCAGGAGTTCGCTTCTCGGGAGGCTGGAAGAGATCAAAGACTCGGTCCTAATAGAACATAAGCACTCTGTTGAAGAAATGTTCTGCTAGATCCTCCTACATTGTATATCTCGTAGTATGTCATGATAGCTCGAGTGGTTGTGGCCCCTCCAGTTTTGCGCTCGAGCTCCTTCCCTCGACGATATATTGCCGTTAGGAGGCGTGGGATAATCCCACGCTCAGAAGCTACCTTTTGTCCCCGCATGGTATACGTTTTCCCACTGCCGGTCGCACCGTACGCGAATATGGTTACATCATTCCCTTTGAACAGATGCTTCAATGTTGGCGATACTAGGAGTTATCCCTCCGCTATCAGCGGTTGGCATTCCAAATAAACCATCAACTACCACCACCAACTCACCTTCAGAAAAAAGCTGCGCTTGGTCCGAATCCCGCCCGTAAACAGCATTAAATGGAAATGTGAAATTCTCATTCTCATTCTTCGGGTTCGGCATAGAAATCGCGTCCTCTTCGGCAGATACCACAACATCCTTCTCACTCTCCCCCTTTAGCAACGGACGGATCCGGGCAATGATACGGACATTGTTGACTGTCATCGCACGGGAGAGTTGCTTGGGCTGGGAAGAAGGCCCTTTTTTTCCTTTCTGTTTTTTTCTTTCGACGCTGGGGCTGGGAAAATTGTCGTTAAGCTGTGGTGCGTGAGGTGCTGACGTCTTAGGGGAAGGGATGTATGACACGCAAAGAGAGGCGTGAGGTTGACGTGAATTTGAGGTTCAAGCTAGACACCCCAAACATCTCGTCGCCCCGGCAACAACACCTTGGTAGGCAGGCCCTAGCCCTAAATTTTAACCTTTCTATCATACGAAAAAAAACACGCCAAGGAGCGTCAATATGGATAATCGGGAGAGGGCTCGAGTGAGAATCCCATGAACGGATAGCATTGGAAATCCCAGAGGACAATGGTTGTGATTTGCTGTAAATTCCTCTCTCTATTTACAGAAAACCCGCACCCCAATGTCGGCGTCCATGAGTATATCATACGAGTACACAAACTTTTTTCACATAAAGCAACCACAACCCCACCCTAGCCCGCCAGATGGAAGAGAGAACACGAACAAAGATACAGGAAAGGAATAGATGCAACAACCAATTATTTTGAAACCGCAGCACTATAGGGCAAATAAGAGTCAGTGGATCGCGGACACGTGGCGCCCCGGAGAACTAAACGTAAAAACTCACGTGAGCACTTGTGTTCTAAACAAACCCCCCTTAGTTTTCTCAATAACTTGCTGGTATACTGATTGCGGGGGATGGTTCATTATAACAGTTCCCTGCGGTGGTAGTTAGCGTGTTAGCGATGCGTTTACATCGGAGAAAATGCACAGGGTTGGGGGGGGGTTGGTCAGTTCACATCCTTATAGTCGATCTTGGCATCCACTCTGGTATCGCGAATGAGGTTGACGATCCACTTCTCGCCCTCATCTTGGGTGAGATTTAAACGCTGAGCCAGATCCCTGATATCTATCCGCTGATGAATCTTGCAATAAGACTCAGAGATCAAATGCCTTGCTGAGTCGACAAATGAAGCAGCAGAAGACGCAAGAAAAAAGTCACTCTTCAATACTTCTTCCGCCTCACTAAGTTTCCGTTGTGCCTCCTCGAAATCGAAGTCGATGTAGAGCGCTGCGACGAAATCGGTGATAGGGTCGTGATACTCATATAGCTCCTGCTTGACAATGCGGACAAGGTCCTTGAGCTGTTTCTGGTACTGGCCGCTGTTGTTCTTGCGATTACGGTTGGTAATGACTGCCGCAGCTACATAGCGAAGGATCCATGGACAGGAGGTTTGGATTGTATTGATAAAAGCCGGGGAAAAGAATAGCTCCAAAAGCACGTCCTTCGGATCCTTGGGTTCCTTGGAATCCTTGGGGTCTTTGAATTCCCTGGCATCTGCGTAGTTGGTGTAATTAAAGAAAGGGAAAAGAGTCCAGTGAACTAGCCATGTACGAGCTTGAAGCTGGCCTAGGGGGTTGTTGTAGAGCTAGGTGGTATTAGCTCCGATGTGTAATATTCATGGGGAGTAAACTGCCTTTTGTTCAATCAAGTCCTTAACTTTAGTAATCTCCTCCATGGAACCCTCCCAATTTGCCGAGAGAATATCACAGGCCAGCTTTCCCCATGTGGCTTGTGTAGTCTTTTCGTTGTCTGTCGACTAGTTGAATGTAAGCGTTTCAAGCCTAGACGCCGAATCAAAGTAGCAGGAACACACCAAGATACGAAACCGATATAAGATATCCGAAGCCTCTCCATAATTACCGCAGCTGTACTGGTGTTGACCGTAATCATAAAGCACGTTTACCATCTCTACCGTGACCTTTTCGGGGGCAAACGCTCGAAATCAGCTTCCATCTCCCCGGGACATATTCAGGGTGGGGGGAGTAGTGGTAATACATCATGTTTCTCCTGAAGATACTGCAAATTTTGCAACTTGTCTGCCCTTAGATTTGACAAGACCTCCGAGTTCCCAAGCAGATTCAGAACCGGTTCACTCTTCTCACCCAAACCGTGCAGTTTTTCCACAACCTCCTGCCTCTTGTTGAGCTCTTCCGGGACCTCTTCAGTGCCATGTATTTCCTTGTAAAGATCGCATATGAAATCTGTCATGTTTGAGTTTTTTAGAAGGTCGTATCTGGCCTGGGCCAATTCTTGGTCCGTTAGCCTGTCCTGCTCACCCATGAACCCCAACAGCGGGAAAATCATGTGTCTGTCGAGGTGAGGCAGTAATTTGGGGATTAAATCATAGGACGCTGCCATCTCGGTGGCACCCTCTGCATTGTTCTGGGCCATAATGACAATGCAGTCCGGTCGCTGGTGTTCTTTGCTGATGATGTGGGTTGAGATATCTGCGATGGAGGGGTCGATTTTGGGAAGGGAAAGGACTGCCTTTTTTTTTTGCTCTCAGTAGGCCAACCGGAAGTCAGTACCAAGCCCCAAATGTGGGTGGCTGACGCGTTAAACTATCACGTGATCCGGTAACAGCTGTTGAAAACCTGTCCTTGTCCCGTGCAGGCAAATACCCTCGCAGATCGAAATGGCTCTGCTATAACATCCGTGTATGATATCCGAAATTCTGGACGGCTTTGTCGAGACGAATTTTACCACCAGGGACTTCGCTACCACTGAAAACGCACATCCTGTAGCCGCTCTCAATAGACGCCACAGCCCGCCTGCAGGATACTCGATACAATATCCTAATCGGCTGGTCAGTCGTCAAGAGGTAGTCAAGTACCCCTCACAATTTGCAACTTGCACCAATGCTTCCCGCACCCACTCCTCTGCGGCTTCTCCGCTCAATGCCTGCGGTGTTTCCCCGAATGGCACCCTTCTCCGCTAGCGCTTTGCGAGGAGAGTATGCATCTGATCCAGGCGAGTAGCTACCCCTCCCAGGCCTACGCGGTCTTCTGATGTTACCAACGGCTAACGGATATCTAGTAAAACGGACACTCGAGCCACTACCCTACTTCGTCTACCGGACTGAGAACAACAATCTTCCAGTCTATCAAGAATACAAGGCGGGGGGAAACAAGCTCCAGACCCGCATACGGAAAGTTGAGGGCAATCTCCAATTTTTGAGGAATCAAATTGAGGACGCTTTTCAGATGAAGAAGGGACAAGTAACGATCAATTCTCTTGCTGGGCATGTCATAATAAAGGGCCGGAGGAGAGATGAGATTGTAAGGTTTCTGTTGGATCATCAGTTTTGATGTGAGATTTCTGCTTATCACCACCAAGTATGTATATCGTGTGGTGGTATTATTTGGCGTTCGTTTCTTTATGGTGAAAGAGGGACTCGACCAGCTTGTAAGTGTACAAAATAGAACAAAAAGGAGCATGAGAGACCTCCCAGAAAACCGCTGAACAACCAAGCAAAAGGGGACGCCAAAGTTCACTGAGGATAAAATACAGGTAAAAAGTAATAGCAAAGTGGTAATGGGAATTTCAACAACGAAAGAAGAAAAGAGATGCGGACCCAGCCTTTGTACAAACGCGAACCTACATCCAACAGCACCAAACGACTGGTATATCGCAGACATTTAGCCTTCAACCATTTAACCCGGCATAAGTACAAAGCTTTTTGACAATAACTCCATCTATCTGAACCGTCAACAACGCTCCCAAAAGACTCTCCTTCTTCGGTAAAACTCCAAGAGGTATTTTCGAATGATCGCCAGCTGCATCTCCAGACTTTTCCGCCAGTTTTTGCAAGACCCCCATACCCCGGTGCGTGATTCTAGCGAAGGGTTGCGAATCATCGAGATTAGGCATCTTTCCAGTTTGGCCCGACTGGCGGGGGTGCATTGGAGTCACTTGAGGACTTAACAAGCAGACAAGTCGCAGTAAGCTGAGCGCAAATCCGTCTTCGGAGGACAGCCAGGAACGAGCTACACCTTGATCGGGACCAGGCGCAATTCCGGCAAGAATCTCAGCAGCAAGCATTCCCTGTTCTAAGAAGGGTTTCCGCGCCTCTACAGCCTGGGGAAGCGCGACCTTCATGTTATCAGGAATTGGAGATATTGCCAGGGCAAATGACCGAGTGAGAAGATCGTAGGCAGGCGCTGTCGAGGACTCAGAAAGGAATATTGTACGATAAAAGGCGCGATTCGGCTCATCCCGAGCAAGCAACTTGGCCAAGCTATCGACTGCGGGGGGCAGATAGCGATGGATCGAAGGAGAGTAGGAAGTAAACATCAAGGAATCTCGCCCCGACGCAGCCGGTAGGGGTTGAGGGGCGAAGGCCAATATCAAGTGCAACAGATTAAGAGCCTCATCTTCACTTGGCAATGTGATTGAGTGCGAAAGGTTCGATAGAAATATGATGATGTCCTTCATGAAATCCAAGGTGTTGGTATTAGTCCTCAACAATAGCTTACTGGTACCCAGCCTTTCGATAACGCCCGACAAAAATCTAACCACATTCGGATCCGCCAGCGCCTTGTGATTCGACTCAAAAAACGAGAGATTCCGGAAGATCGTAGTTATGCATATAAGTTTATCAGCCACCTTTTCCAGTTCATGCTCAAGGGACCCGAACCGCGCAACATCAATGAGTCTCACGGTCTCCGCTTTACAGGCCCTCACGATATCCTCGTAAGCTGGAACAGCAATTGCTTCCGAGCTCTCCTCAGCATGCTCCCCCAAGATCTCAACCTGAGACTCAGCAACATCTACTAACGTCTCGATCAAATCCTCGCAACTCTCCAATGCAAGAGACCATCTGGATTCCACGGAGACGGTAGCCAATGTGTCCAAAGCAAGTCGTACCTCAGCGGAAATACCGCACTTGAGCATCATCGTCAAAGCGTGAACATCTATCACCCCCAATTCCTGGAATGTCGGAGTCGTAGGCTTGTGAAACATGAAGTCACCTCCGATCTGGCTCAAAACAGAGACATTCAGCCCTCCGTGGGTATCCAATCCTCGAACCTTGGGTTTGAAATCAGATGGAATCTCTTTCAGGGCATTATTCGGTGGTTGCGTAGCAGGGAAAGGAATTGCATCAGGCAGAACGCCAGGCTTCACGGGGATTTGAGCGCCAGATAAAGGATAGTTTGGCGGAATGTGGCCTTGCAGTGGTGTTGAATCCAAAGAAATACGGTTCGGAGTACTAGGGAGTTGGCTGTATTGGGGAGCTTGTCTTGAAGACTGTCTAGGCTGGGGAACAAACCCGTTGTGAAGATTTGACCTCGCGTGATTATTCGGCACAGGTGTTTGAGGCTGTTTGGGGATCCCCTGAGGCCTTGTATGTTGCATTTGTTGGGAATTCGGCATCGGTTTTGTTTGCTGCTGTGGCTGCTGAGGATGCATTTGCTGCCTCATATCCGGCGCAGACTGCTGACCTCTTGCTATGGCCACCTTTTTCGAATCCCTCTGACTTCGCAGCCAGGCCTGCTCATAGGCAGCTAGATTCAACTTGAAAATTTGGACTAGATCATCGGCGGCTGTGGGAAACGACTCGGGAGAGAAGCCAAGACTCATCGATACCGCGTGCCACTTATTCTCCATCGTGACCTTTTGTGAACCCCCCAGCTTCAAAACGTTCGCGTAGAGATTTACCAAGCTTACTGCCCTCCCGCCAATGTACGACTGGCCTTGGATGGGTGTGCCGTTCTTGTTCATAAAATTGGATAGGCTCCTCATGAATTGATTGGGGTCATTATGCGGCTGAGTTGGACTTGGCCCAGAGCCCTGAAGGGGATGTTGCCCTTGGGGTCGTGGAATCTGACCAGGGTTCATAGAATTTGGTCCCATATGAGGAGGCATGCCTGTCGGAGATTGCTGGGGGCCGGAATTCTGCGACTGCTGTTGGTGCTGCTGCAGTTGCATAATCCTCTGTTGCTGTGAATGTTGCTGGAGTTGCTGTTGTTGATGCTGGCGAATGTACATCATTTGTGCTTGTGTCGGGTTTTGCATCTGCTGGCTCGGGACGGGAGCAGGCGGGGCGGATGCAGCAGTGGAAGGCGAGGAGAACGCTTGTGTAAATGACTGAGAATATGGGGTCTGAGGGGGTGGCGCTAGATTCATATTGCTATTTTGAGGTGTGCTTACACGCGAGACTTGGTTTGGCGGTGGAGAGCCTTGAGGCATGAATGATTGTTGTGGTGGTGCGGGTGAAAAAGGAGATGGGGATTGGGTTGCGACGCGTTTGGGTGGAGGTTGGTTGTAGGTTTGATTTTGCATTACGGGGGAAGGGCTCGCGTTCGCAGACCCTACATGTTGGAGATGCGAGTGAGACGAGTAGCCAACGGGGGTGTATTGTCGCTGCTGCGCGGCGCCCGCATTGTTTTGATAAACCTGATAGGCCAACTGGGGATTGGAAGCGTGAGGAGTCTGCGATCGCGAAGTAGGGGGATTTGCGGTGGTTTGGCGGGGAGATACAGTAATAGGGTCTTCGCGGGGTCTCGGTCGTTTTAATGGAACTACAGGATTAACATTATACGCTGGCTGCTGAAATCCCGGAGAAGAGGTTCGCGAATTGCCATTCTGGATTTGGGCGCGCTGATGGGCCTGCTGCTGAAACTGATGGGGATCTATGGTCGACGGGGTTATCACAGCCGCACCAGGATCGAAAGAAGAATGCATCGCCGTCACAGAAGAGGCTTCAGGGCCAGCGAACGCAGAGTTCTGAACAGCCGGGGCGTCTTGCAACCAACCAGGCGCAGAAGGCACTGACATCGACTCCTGCAAGGAAGCACGCGTTAGCCAAGACCAGTCTGCACACAAACAGTATGGCACCCATCATCGCCACCACTGCGCGCACTCTAGATCTATCTCGACGTGGGCCACGATTTGCTCAACAATATGCGGAGCAGCAGACATAAGGCACACGGAACTTTGCAGAAGATATTGCGGCGAAGAGAAGTAGATGGAAGGATGCATAAAAAATGATGAATTTTAGGCTCTAGCCAGCAACTCAGACGCGTGCACGCACAAACACGCAGCGAACAAAGAGCAGAATATGGTGGCACAAGACAAGGGGAAAGTGGGCAGTCGAGTAAATAGGAAGCAAGAAGACAAGTTTTAGGAGAAGATTAGAGTACTGACCAAGAACAAACAGGTCCCGGCAAGTGCGTACGAACGAAGCTTGCTTAATAGCGGAGACGAGTGAGTGGTAGTGGTGTGTGTGTCAGATCGTCCAGATGTTGTCTCCGGCGTGCCAAACGAGTAAGGGGGGGTTGGAATGAAAAATGGGTAACAATAAAAATGGAAAAATGAGGGTCAGGGGAATTGGAAAAAATTATAATCCGCAGTGAGTTGTTAGTTACTACAGCTACCACAGCTACAGCTACAAGCTACCACAGCTGTTTCTATGCCCAAGGAGGGGGGGAAGCTTGAGTGAGGATCAAGAGGCTCAAAAGTTAGCCACACGGAACGGCTTGCACAGACGGAGATAGGTAGCATGCTTGAGGCAACTGGGGGAGGGGGGGGGGGGGGGTTTGTACGGAGGGGGTGGGTGGATGGGAGGGGAGGGAGAGGGGAGGGAGGTGAGGTGAGTGAGTGTAGGCAGGTAGGGCAGTGAAGGGACGGATGGATGGATGTGAAGCGTCGGATGCAAATACGTGGGGATGGGATGGGAAAAGGAATGGGATGATGGGATGGGGGGAAGGGGTTGGAAGGATCGGAGCTTGTGAGGAGTAGTGATTCGATGTGTACCGGTATGTACGTACGTATGGACGGTATGGGGGGAAGGGGGATGGGACAAGCGCAGGAAAATAAAGTGCGTACCTATTTTGCTCTCGCGAGTGAAGAGAGTAGACAGAGAACCAAAAAGATTTCTCTGGTGGGAGGGCGCGCGAGGATGGAGAGTGTTGGAGGAGTGAGCGTGGCAAGGGCAGCACCCAGCCTACCGCCGGAAACAAACTCGATCAGGCGTGTGGAAAGAAGGGGGGAGGAAAAAAAAAAAAAAAAA